ACGGAAGTGGTTCACTTAACAACCCTGGCAAGCAAGGTGGTAAAATAGGGCAAAAGTCGCTGAAGGACTGTTCTCACTTAGCAACGGAAATTTTGGGGCTCAGTGGCAGTCGTAAGTCGAGGACTCCCTGTATTTATGACGGTTGCCGTGCCCCCTGGGGTCACGCAATCTCCTTTTGCGACCAGATTCATTTAATTTAATTTAATTTAATTTAATTTAATTTAATTTAATTTAATTTAATTTAATTTAATTTAATTTAATTTAATTTAATTTAATTTAATTTAATTTAATTTAATTTAATTTAATTTAATTTAATTTATATGCCGCCCCTCTCCGAAAACTCAGGGCGGTAACCATATTACTTTAACAACGGTTGTGATTCACTTAACGACGGTGGCAAGCAAGGTCGTAAAATGGGGCCGAACTCACTCCACCACTGTCTCATTCGGAAGAGAAATTTGGGCCTCTGAAAACATTGGCCATCGGTCACTTTTTCGGGGGCCGTCCTAACTTCAAACGGTCACTAAACGGACTGTTGTAAGTCAAGGACTACCGGTGTGGGCTGGAGCAATAATTCTAAACTGCAACTTAACCTTATGATCCTGATTCTTATCCCTTGGCCTTCCTCTTTGCCACCTGGGGAAAACCAAATCAGAATAGAGCTGGAAGGGACCTTAGAGGTCTTCTAGTCCAACCCTCTACTCATGCAGGAGACGCCTAGACGAGGGGTGGGCAATTGTGGCTCTTTTACAACCTGTGGACTTCAACTCCCAGAATTCCTGAGACAGCCGTCTCAGGAATTCTGGGAGTTGGAGTCCACAGGTTGTAAAAGAGCCACAATTGCCAATCTCTGGCCTAGACCATATCCATCAATCAGTCAATCAGAATAAAGCCGGAAGGGACCTTGGAGGTCATCTAGTCCAGGGGGTCCCCAACCTTTCGGACCTCAGGGACCACTAAATTCCTAATTTTAAATCCCCCCCAGACCACTAATATGATCTGCCTAATGACTGGCTGGGTGGGCGTGGCCAGGTGGTCGTGTGACTGGGTGGGCGTGGCCAACTCAATGTCATTCAAATCGAGGGGTGCCCGCCCCTCCTCCTCCCCTCCCCGCCCAGGCTCCTTAGGGCCCCAATAGGAAGCAGTTGTTGGAGCTAAGCAGCCCCCAGGAGAAAGAGTTGGCAAAACAGCTGGCTCAGTTCCAATTGGGCCTAGTGGCTCAGCAGACTGATAGCATTGTGATTAACATCTGCTGCCTGCAATTACTGCAAGTTCGAATCTCACCAGGCTCAAGGTTGACTCAGCCTTCCATCCTTTCTAAGGTAGGTTAAATGAGGACCCAGTTTGTGGGGGCAATAAGCTGACTTTGTATGAATATACAAAAAGGATGAAGGCTATTGCTTAACACACTGTAAGCCGCCCTGAGTCTCCGGAGAAGGGCGGCATATAAATCGAACTAATAGATAGATAGATAGATAGATAGATAGATAGATAGATAGATAGATAGATAGATAGATAGGATAGATAAGAGCCTTGGTGGCACAGCAGACTAAAGTGCTGTTATGTAGCACTTAGTTGCCAGCTGCCTGCAATTACTGCGAGTTTGAATCTCACCTGGCTCAAGGTCGACTCAGCCTTCCATCCTTCCGAGGTAGGTAAAATGAGGACCCGGATTGTGGGGGCAATAAGCTGACTTTATATAAAAAAGAACACCTTTGTGGGGGGGCCCGAAAGCCCTACTAAGCAGGTATATACAAAAGTATGAAGGCTATTGCTTAACGCATTGTAAGCCCCCCTGAGTCTCCGGAGAAGGGCGGCATATAAATTAAAAGCAAAAAAAAAATTGGATCTGAGCCGAGAAGGAGGCTCAGCGGAAGCACCTCACTGAGGACTAGGAGCATAGGCTTTCCAAGCAGAGGGAAGACCTGCGGGAGTGCAAGGCCAGATACCGGCACCTGGAGGCTCAGCGGGATGAGATAGTCAGCCAGTTCCAGGCCATGATGCAGTCCCAGTGGAACGAGGCCCTCCGGCTCTTCGCCACCAGCGGCTCTTCCCTCCAGCCTTCGCCCAAAGCCCCCCACCAGGAGGCCGAAGCAGACCCCGAGTCTGAATTCCTGCCCCCCTCCGACCCACATAAGAAGACCCCGAAGGGGGAAGAGACTCTGCAGCAGCACAAACGTTCATTGCACGTATTCAGCCCAGGGGCCGTAGTTTGAGGACCCCGGATTTAGTGCAATATAAAAACACAACAGTTGAAATTAGAGCAAGAATTAGGACTTCAAATAGTAAAGAAAATAAAATACCTAGGTATTTGGCTGACAGCAAAAGCAACTACAATTAAAGAAGATAATTATACCAAATTGTTAAAACAAATCAAAAAAGACTTAGAAATTTGGAGTAGATTACAACTCTCATTGATGGGCAGAATTGCCTCAATAAAAATGAATATATTACCAAGAGTACTATATTTATATCAAGTGATACCAATACACCCCGGAAGAGATTTCTTTAAGAACCTCAACAAAATAACAATGAACTACATATGGCAGGGAAAGAAGGCCAGAATTAAAATCAAAGCTCTACAGGATTCACGGGACAAAGGAGGCCTAGCAACACCAGATTGGGAACTCTACTATAAGGCATCGGGATTGACCTGGATTAAAGAATGGATGGAACTCGGCAACAAAAGAACCTTATATTTAGAAGGCTTTGACTTAATAAGAGGATGGCACGCTTTCTTATGGGACGGACCGGATAAAAGACACACGTACTTCCAATGTCATATAATTCGAGCTTCATTATTCAAGACCTGGCAGGATATTAAGAGAATTCACTATACCAAAATACCAAAATGGTGGTCCCCGATGGAAGCGTTGATATACCCAAACACGCTCGAAATAGGAAAAATGATGAGGTATCAAGACTTACTGAATCATGAAGGCGAACTCGTCTCAAGACAGCAACTCCAAAACTCCGGCATAAATATCGATTGGTGGCCCTATACTCAAATACACTCTAGATACATAGCAGACAAAAAGCAATATGGAATCTCGAATAATTTGAACGAATTGGATAAGATTTTACAAGGCCCACAACAAAAAATGATAACCAAATTATATAACTACTTACTTAGATATAAATTACTGGAAGAAACAGTAAAAGAAAATATGATAAGATGGGCCAAGGACATAGGGCACAACATCCAACTGGCAAACTGGGAGAAATTGTGGAAACAGAATATTAAAATGACAAGAGCCATACCCTACAAAGAAAACCTCATAAAAATGTTTTACAGATGGCACCTAACACCAGCCAGACTAGCCAAAATATATCCAAACACCTCCCCACGCTGTTGGAAGTGCAAAACAAAAAAAGGGACATACTACCATGCCTGGTGGAAATGTACAAAGGCCCAACAATACTGGAAGGACACAAAGGAAATCATTGAAGAAATAATAAACCAACAAGTAGAAAACACCCCAGAATTTTTTTTATTTGGAATGATAACAACACAATACAACAAAGAGACAAAGTACCTCATCATACACATTTTGACAGCAGCACGGTTACTGTTTGCGCAAAATTGGAAATCAGATCAACTCCCAACCAAAGACAAACTAATCTCAAAGATAACAGAATGTGCCGAAATGGATAAACTGACACTAGAACTCCAAGATAAAGAAGAAAGTGAATTCTATCTTGTGTGGCACAAGTGGTATCAATGGCTGGAAAAGAAAATCAGTACAAATATAGATGAAAGATTATAGGGTAGGAAAAATAAAACCGGAAACAGCTAAATAAAGAGGAGATGCAAGATTATTTCTAATCTAAAACATCTGAATTGACAATGTATTAAGTATATATTAATTTATAAAGCAATATATATTCTGATGATGACCAAAACATATATGTAAAATATAGTGTGGGTAGGTTGGTGGTGGGAATTCGTTTGTCTTTGTAATGTCTTTGTATTTTTTTTTGTATTGTCTTTATATCTCTGTTTAAAACTCAATAAAAAAAAAAAAAAAAAAAAAAAAAGACCCCGAAGGGGGAAGACTCTCTGCAGCAACACAAACGTTCATTGCACTTATTCAGCCCAGGGGTCGTAATTTGAGGACCCCGGATTTAGTGCAATGCGAAAAATGCAAATAATTTTTCTGCGGACCACCAAAATTTTCTCGCGGATCATCAGTGGTCCACGGACCACCAGTTGGTGACCTCTGCTCAAGTCCGACCCCCTGTTCATGCAGGAGACCTTAAACCCGTGATGGTGAGCCTAGGGCACGCGTGCCACAGATGCCACATATCTGTAGGCACGTGAGCATTGCCGTAGCTCAGCTCCAGTGCGCATGCGGGCACCGGCCAGCTGATATTCGGGCCTTCTGGGTCCACCAGAAGTCGGGAAACGGGCTGTTTCCGGCCTCCAGAGGGCGTCTTGGGGGAAGGGGAGGCCATTTTCGCCCTCCCCAGGCTCCCAGAAAGACTCGGGAGCCTCGGGAGGGTGAAAAATGGGCCTACTGGGCCAATGCTGGATTTCAAAATTTTTTACTACCGGTTCTGTGGGTGTGGCTTGGTGGGTGTGGCTTGGTGGGCGTGGCAGGGGAAGGATACTGTAAAATCTCCATTCCCACCCCGTTCCAGGGGAAGGTTACTGCAAAATCTCCACTCCCACCCTGTTCCAGGGGAAGGTTAATGCAAAATCTCCACTCCCACCCCACTCCAGGGGAAGGTTACTGCAAAATCTCCACTCCCACCCCTCTCCAGGGGAAGGTTACTGCAAAATCTGCCCTAGACCATATCAATCAATCAATCCGAATAGAGCTGGAAGGGACTTTGGAGGTCATCTAGATCAACCCCCTGCTCTCAAGCAGGAGACTATAGCAAAGTTGTCATCTTGTGAGATCTTTCATGGTTCTTCCAACTTCCCCATGATGAGAATTTGTGTTGCGGTTGGGGAAGAAAATCAGCTTTGGGATTTTGGGACAAACCCTTGAGAACGGGGCTCTCTTCTCTTGCAGATCCTGAATTCCCCGGTGGCCGAAAACCCTATCATTCCTCCGAGATGCTCTGCTTGAATTCCAAGGAGGTCCGTCAGCTGCTACACAACAAGTTTGTGGTCATCTTAGGGGACTCGAGTGAGTGCAGACTTCGAAAGGATGAGCTACCAGCTTTCTTGAAGGCATCAGAGCTAGCTTTCCCCCAACCCATCAGGATCTTGGATTGCAGCTTCTGTCATAGCCGTGCCAAAGGAGCCAGTTGCTCATGATGGGTTTGTGAGTCATTCAGGTCCAGCAGGATCAGATGGGGAAACCAGGGGTCAAATCTATCTTGGATGGTGGGGGGGGGAGATGTACAAGGCATGATGGGTATTAAGAGTTGAACGCGTCTCTGTTGGTGGAAGAAGCTGTATCTGCTTTCTGCTGGAGAAGACGGAGGAAAATGCATGGACCTTCCTTGTTCTGACTTCTTCTAGGAGTGTGGACTTCATATAGAATCAAAGAGCTGGAAAGGGACCCTGGAGGTCTTCTAGCCCAACCCTCTTCCCGCAATCTTTCACGGATAAAATCGCAAGTCTCCCAACGTGGCCCCTTTAAGACTTGTGGACTTCAACTCCCGCGCTGGCTGAGGAATTCTGGGAGTCGAAGTCCGCAAGTGTTAAAAGGGGCCAATTTTGGAGACCCCTGCTTTTTAATTCAAGCTGGACAACGTCCGGTGGTGTGGGTCAATTCCCAGAATTCTCAGCTACGGTCAGTCTTGAAGTGGCCAAGTTTGGGGTCTCTGAATAAAAGGATAGGAGTTGTGAGCTCACGGTGAGCTCGCACTGAGTCACAGAGACCAAATATTGTCCATCTCGCTCTGATATTACAACTCCGAGCACCTGAATTGCTCCCTGTAAATCTAAGGGCTATTACTATCATCTGTCTCCCTCTCTCTCTCTCTCTCTCTCTCTCTCTCTCTATCAAATCATGTACTGTATTTTTCTACTTAGCTAGCTAGCTACTGTATATAACCGTGATGGCGAACCTATGGCACGCATGCCACAGGTGGCACGTGTAGCCATATCAGTGGGCACGCCAGCTCAGCTCAGAGAGAGAGAGAGAGGCTCTGGAGGCTGAAGACAGCAAAAAACATTACTTCCTGTCCCACTGGGAGTTGGGAAAGGAGCCATTTCAGGCCTCCGGAGGGCCTCTGAGGGAGTGGGGAAGGCTGTTTTCGCCCTCCCCAGATGCACAGAGAGGCTCTGGACCCAGGTGAGAAAGAAAAATGGGCTTACCGGGCCATCGCATACCAGGAGCGGGGGTGGGGAGTGTTGTGCGCACATGGGCAGGACGCAGAGAATTATGGGGACCTCCCCCGCGCTCCTGGCACGCGATGGCAAAAAGGTTAGCCATCCCTGGTATATAGTATCATTCTATTCTATTCTATCTCATCCCATCCCATTCTAAATTCCCAATCCCATTCCATTCTCTCTCTTTCTAATCTCTCATCTCTCTTTCTACTTAGCTAGATACTGTATACAGGAGGGATGGCTAATCTTTTTGCCGTCGCGTGCCATAAGTGGGGGGAGTGCAGGGGGTCGCGCGCACTTGTGCCCACACCCATTATTCAATGCCCCCCTCCGCCACGCTCCCCACGCTTTTGGCACGCGACGGCAAAAGGGTTACCGGTGGGCCCAGTAGGCCCGTTTTTCACCCTCCCCAGGCGCCAGAAGCTTTCTAGGAGCCTGGGGAGGGTGGAAACGGCCCATTTCCTGACTTCCAGTGGGACCGGAAGTCCCGAAAATCAGCTGGCGCACGCTGGAGCTGAGCTAGGGCAACGCTTGCATGCCCACTGATATGGCTCCGTGTGCCACAGGTTTGCCATCACGGGTATATAGTATTCTACTCCATTACTCTACTCTACTCCTCTCCTCTCCTCTATTCCCATTCTCATTCTATTCTCTATTGTATTGCCTCTCCCTCTCTGTCAAGGTGGCCCAGTGGTTAGAATGCAGCCTTGCAGGCTGACTCTGTCGACGGCCAGGAGTTCGATCCTGACCGCTCCAGGTTGACTCGGCCTTCCATCCTTCCGAGGTCGATAAAATGAGGACCCAGATCGTTGGGGGGAAAGAGGCTGAGTCTGCAAACTGCTGAGACAGGGCTGTAAAGCAATTGCGAGTCTAAGGGCTAAATTTCTATGGAGAATCTCCGTCATCCAAGTCCTAGTTGTCCCAAAAGTGATTTTTTTTTTTTTTCTCAAGCGGCCACTGGATTTTCTGGTTTTTCTTTTGAAGACGTTTCGCTTCTCGTCCCAGGAGCTTCTTCGTCTCCGACTTCCCCATCAGCCAGTCCGAGCTGAAGAAGCTTCTTGGAGGAGAAGCGAAAGGTCTTCAACCATCCCCCCCCCCAGAAAGTCCAGTCGCCTCTTGAAAAAAGCACCTTTGGGAGAAGTCTAAGGGCTCTTGTGAATGGGGAGGCTCCCTGCCCGTCATAAATGGAGGACGAGCTCAAATTCCCTTCTCCTCTCTCTCCCTCTTCCTGCAGTCCAGCGGTCGGTCTACAAGGACCTCATTCAGTTGCTCCAGAGTGACTCCTTACTCACTTCGTCCCAAATGAAGTCGAAGGTAATTGGCCACGGAGGTCGTCTGGAGCAGGTTACAGCTGTTTTGGGGTGGGCTAGGGGTACAGATACAGAATAACAGAGTTGGAAGGGACCTTGGAGGTCATCTAGTCTAACCCCCACCCACACAAGCAGGAGACCCTACACCATGTCTGACAGAGAGCAGCCCAGTCTCTTCTTGAAAGCCTCCAGGGATGAAGCTCTCACAACTTCTGAAGGCAACTTCTGTTCCATGGCTTGATTGTTCTCACTGTCAGGAAATTTCTCCTTATTTCCAGGTTGAACCTCTCCTTGATCAGTTTCCATCCATTGTTCCTTGCCTGACCTTCAGATGCCTTGAAGAACGGGTTGACCCCCTTCCTCCTCTCTGTGGCAGCCCCTCAAATATTGGAAGATGCTCTCCTGTCTCCCCTGGTCCTTCTCTTCGCTAGACTAGCCGTGTCTTCTGTCCAACTATGATTCACTCAGATTTCTTTCTTTCTTTCTTTCTTTCTTTCTTTCTTTCTTTCTTTCTTTCTTTCTTTCTTTCTTTCTTTCTTTCTCTTTGGAAAACAGCTCGACCCCCTTCCTCCTCTCTGGGGCAGCCCCTCAAATATTGGAAGATGCTCTCCTGTCTCCCTGGTCCTTCTCTTCCCTAGAGTAGCCATGTCTTCTGTCCCACTATGATTCACTCAGATTTCTTTCTTTCTTTCTTTCTTTCTTTCTTTCTTTCTTTCTTTCTTTCTTTCTTTCTTTCTTTCTTTCTTTCTTTCTTTCTTTCTCTCTCTCTCTCTCTCTCTCTCTCTCTCTCTTTCTTTCTTTCTTTCTTTCTTTCTTTTCCTTTCTTTCTTTCTTGTGCTTTGGAAAACAGCTTGACCCCCTCCTCTTTATGGCAGCCTCTCAAATATTGGAATATTGCTTTATGTCTCCCCTGGTCCTTCTCTTCACTAGACTAGCCATGTCTTCTGTCCAACTATGATTCACTCTTCTTTCTTTCTTTCTTTCTTTCTTTCTTTCTTTCTTTCTTTCTTTCTTTCTTTCTTTCTTTCTTTCTTTCTTTCTTTTTCTTTCTTTCTTTTCTCTCTTTCTTTTTTTCTTCTTTCTTTCTCTTTCTTTCTCTTTCTTTCTCTTTCTTTCTTTCTTTCTTTCTTTCTTTCTTTCTTTCTTTCTTTCTTTCTTTCTTTCTTTCTTTCTGGAAAACAGCTTGACCCCTTCCTCCTCTCTGTGGCAGCCCCTCAAATATTGGAAGATGCTCTCCTGTCTCCCCTGGTCCTTCTCTTCCCTAGACCAGCCATGCCCAGTTCCTGCAACCGTTCCTCGTATGTTTTATCCTCCAGTCCCCTAATCATCTTCGTTGCTCTTCTCTGCACTCTTTCCAGAGTCTCCACATCTTTTTTATAGTGTGGGGACCAAAACTGGATGCAGGAATCTAGTTGTGGCCTTATTTTGGGGTATTTTGGAAGAGAAGGAGCTATCAAAAACTGCCTCCAGTATCCTTCCTTCGTGCCTCCACTGCAAGCTTTCACTCAGTGAGAAGATAGACTGGGGCTCCAGGAAGTCCTCGACTTACAACGGTTTCATTTAATGACCAGTTGAAGTCACACCGGCACGGAAAAAAGTGACGCAAAAAGGTCATAACATGGGACAAAGCTCCCTTCCCCGTCCCACTTAGCAACGGAAATGTTAGGCTCCGTTGTGGCTGTAAATTGAGGCCTACCTGTAGCATATCTGGAGCTTATACACATAGACCTCGTCTTACAACAGTTCACTTTAGTGGCTGTTCGACGTTAGAACGGCAGTGAAAAAAAGGGACTTTACGACCGTTTTTCGCACTTACGACTGTTGCAGCATCCCCAGGATCACGTGATCAAAATTAGGACGCTTGGCAACCGACTCATCTTCATGATGGTCGCGGCGTCCCGGGGTCACATGATCCCCTTTTGCGACCATCTGACAAGCCAAATCAATTTGGGAAGCCAGATTCATTTAACGACCCGCAGGGAACAACTGTGGCAGGAAAAGTCGTAAAAAGTCGACGTCAAAAACGCAGTGTTCCCGGGGTCACGCGATGCCCTTTTGAGACCTTCCGACTACGGGAAAACCAGATTCACTTTACAACTCCGCGACGGCAGTGATTCACTTAACAGCCGTGTCCAGAAAGGTCGTAAAACGGGACGAAATTTCACCGAACAAATGTCTGACTTAATAAACAGAAATTTGGGGGGGCTGAATTGTGGGTCGTAAGTTGAGGACTGTATAATTTCTGTCCTTCTTTCTCTCTTTCTCCAGGGGGAATTCAGTTTTGAAAACGACCACTTGATTGAAGGTGGCGTGCTGGACGGCCTACACAACGGAATCCGTTATCGGGAAGTGCGCCAATATCGCACCCGTTACCACCTTGTCCGCTTCTACTTCCTGACTCGGATCTACTCGGAATATTTCGAAAGCATCCTGGGTGATTTCCGGGCCGGCCCGCAGCCAGATGTTTTGATCCTCAATTCTTGCGTTTGGGATGTTTCCAGGTAGTGTAAGTTGTGTGTTGCGTAGGTGTCAAAACCATTTGATGATATTCCGAGGGCTCTCGGTGTTTCAAAGGCCTTAAATCCTGGACTCACCAACCTTTCGGACCTCGGGGCCACTAAATTCATAATTTTAAATCCCGCGGACCACTAATACGATCTGCCTAATGACCATCTGGGTGGGCGTGGCTAGGTGGTCATGTGACTGGGTGGGCGTGGCCAATTTGATGTCACTCACGTTAAGGGGTGCCTCGCCAGTCTCTACTCACCTCTCCCCTCCCCGCCCAGGCTCCTTAGGGCCCCAAGAGAAAGCAGTTGTTGGAGCTAAGCAGCCACCATGAAAAAACTTGGCAGAACAGCTCTGTTCAAATTGGATCGGACCGAGAAGGAGGCTCAGCAGAAGCAACTCACTGAGGACTAGGAGCATAGGCTTTCCAAGCAGAGGGAAGACCTGCGGGAGTGCAAGGCCAGGTACCGGCACCTGGAGGCTCAGCAGGATGAGATGGTCAGCCATTCCAGGCCATGATGCAGTCCCACTGGAACGAGGCCCTCCGGCTCTTCGCCACCAGCGGCTCTTCCCTCCAGCCTTCGCCCAAAGCCCCCCACCAGGAGGCCGAAGCAGACCCCGAGTCTGAATTCCTGCCCCCCTCCGACCCACACAAGAAGACCCCGAAGGGGGAAGACTCTCTGCAGCAGCACAAACGTTCATTGCACGTATTCCGCCCAGGGGCCGTAGTTTGAGGACCCCGGATTTAGTGCAATATAAAAAATGCAAATAATTTTTCTGCGGACCACCAACATTTTCTCGTGGACCATCAGTGGTCCACGGACCACCAGTTGGTGACCGCTGCTGTAGGACACGGGTCTCCAACGTTGGCGACTTTATGATTTGTGGACTTCAGCTCTTCAGAATTCTTCACCTGGCCTTGTCTTTCAGTTCTGCAGCTGTTAATAATAATGTGAAAGCAAGATGGAATGGTTGCTTCTATTAACTGGGTTTTATTGCTGGGTCGTTTCTGACTAACCAGTTTCTTTAGTTGGCTCCGTAGATTTTCCATTGGGTGAAGGTCTGGGCTCTTCCCGGGTCATTCCAGCAGTGGAATAGGATTCTCTCGAAACTCCAAAAAACGGTGGCGTTATTAGCCATCAAAACCCAAAAATACACTTTTCCCAAAAGGTTTCCACAATTTTGGCCACTACTGTAACTTTACTGTAACTCCTCGCATCCTGGACATAAATTGTTTCAACTCCTACACTCAAAACGAGGCTATAGAGCACTACACACCAGAACAACTAGACACAAGGACAGTTTTTCCCCAAACGCCATCACTGTGCTAAACAAATAATTCCCTCAACACTGTCAAACTGTTTACTAAGTCTGCACTACTATTAATCTTCTCATCGTTCCTATCACCCATCTCCTCCCACTTATGACTGTAACCTTGTTGCTGGTATCCTTAAGATTTATATTGATATCGTTTCCTGATTGCTTATTTGTTCCCTATGACTATCATTAAGTGTTGTACCTTATGATTGTTGATGAATATATTTTGTCTTTTTATGTACACTGAGAGCGTTTGCACCAAGACAAATTCCTTGTGTGTCCAATCACACTTGGCCAATAAAGAATTCCTATCTATTCTATTCTATTCTATTCTATTCTATTCTATTCTATTCTATTCTATTCTATTCTATTCTATTCTACATTCCAATATTCTCTTCTCTTCTCTTCTCTTCTTCTCCATTCCAGATTTTCTATTCTATTCTATTCTATTCTATTCTATTCTATTCTATTCTATTCTATTCTATTCTATTCTATTCTATTCTCCCATCCCATCTTCTCTTCTCTTCTCTTCTCTTCTCTTCTCTTCTCTTCTCTCTCCTCTCCTCTCCCCTCTCCCCTCTCCTCTTTTCTCTTCTCTCCTCCCTTCCCTTCCCTTATTTCTATTCTATTCTATTCTATTCTATTCTATTCTATTCTATTCTATTCTATTCTATTCTATTCTATTCTATTCTACATTCCAATATTCTCTTCTCTCTTTCTCTTCTCTTCTCTTCTCTTCTCTTCTCTTCTCTTCTCTTCTACATTCCAGATTTTCTATTCTATTCTATTCTATTCTATTCTATTCTATTCTATTCTATTCTATTCTATTCTATTCTATTCTATTCTATTCTATTCTATTCTATTCTACATTCCAATATTCTCTTCTCTTCTCTTCTCTTCTCCATTCCAGATTTTCTATTCTATTGTATTCTATTGTATTGTATTGTATTGTATTCTATTCTATTCTATTCTATTCTCTTTATTCTATTCTATTCTATTCTCCCATCCCATCATCTTCTCTTCTCTTCTCTTCTCTTCTCTTCTCTTCTCTTCTCTTCTCTTCTCTTCTCTTCTCTTCTCTTCTCTTCTCTTCTCTTCTCTTCTCTTCTCTTCTCTTCTCTCCTCTCCCCTCTCCTCTTTTCTCTTCTCTCCTCCCTTCCCTTCCCTTATTTCTATTCTATTCTATTCTATTCTATTCTATTCTATTCTATTCTATTCTATTCTATTCTATTCTATTCCATTCCATTCCATTCCATTCCATTCCATTCCATTCCATTCTATTATTTGTTCTTCTTCCCTGCATTCTTTCTAGAGTCTCCACATCTTTTTTATAACGTGGCCAGCAAAACTGGATGGAGCATTCCAAGTGTGGCCTTACTAAGTCTATACAGAGCGGTACTTTCTAGAGCAAAGTTTATTTATAGAGAGGTATAAAGGTTGGAGTCCCTTGGAACTCAACAGATCCTGGTTTGTTTGTTTTTTTGGTTCCTTTCTCCCTGAGCAGATATGGCTCGTCTTCCATGATGGAATACCGCAAGAACTTGGAGGTAGCCTTCAACAAGTTGGATGCCGAACTCTCACCTTCCTGCTTGGTCATCTGGAACATGACTATGCCTTTAGGCCCCAGGATCAAAGGTGGCTTCCTCATACCAGAGGTAGGAGTAGATAAATCCCTCAGTCTGGTTCTTGTCTTCGAGGTGTTGTCTGAATGGTGGATATCATCATTTGGACGGGGGGGGGGGGGGTTTCTAGGATCATGGTTTGTTCCAGTGGCTCCTTCTGCAATGGTTAGTAACCTGGTTGTTAAGTGAATCTTGGCTTCCCCATTGACTTGGCTCGTCAGAAGGTCGCGAAAGAGGATCCCTGCCCTGACCCCGGGACTCCGCAACCGTCATAAGTATGAATCACTTGCTGGGCTTCTGAATGGTGATCAGGTGATCACCGGAAAGCTGCAATGGTTGTGTTAAGGAATTCGCAGAGCAACTCTTGAGTAGCAAGGGTATGGACATGAAAGCGATTGAGAGTAGTTAGGAGATAACACAGCCAATCCACAGATACACTGGGTTGTGTTTACTTTCAGGAAATAGGAATAAGGCACAAATCCAATAAACAGTTCAGGTTATACACAGATAAAGCAGTAGATAGTAAAACAATAGTCCAGGGATAATCCAATAACAAAAGTCTTCTTACCAGTCATCGTAGTCGTACACATTAACAGTTGCAAACAGTAGCAAACACAGCAAAGAGCAGTGAATAGCACACAGCAAACAGCAAAGAGCATCAAAGAGTCGTAAAGAGAAACAAACCAGGTTTCTAGCTCCTTCTTAAGGACATTGGCTACAGAGCTAACCAATCAGGACACAGTATGAGGCAATACGCAGTAAGAGCATTCATAGTACAGTGGTCTAAAGCAACCTGTTATTAAGACCAGCTGCCTGCAATTACTGCAGGTTCGAATCTCGCCAAGGCTCAAGGTCGACTCAGCCTTCCATCCTTTCTAAGGTGGGTAAATTGAGGACCCAGATTGCGGGGGCAATAAGCTGACTTTGTATAAATATACAAAAAGGATGAAGGCTATTGCTTAACGCATTGTAAGCCGCCCTGAGTCTCCGGAGAAGGGCGGCATATAAATCAAATAAAAATAAAAATAAAAATACAGCAGTACAGCAGTCTTAAAGCTAACAGGTTGCAAGGGTGAAAATTGGTCCGAAGTCACTTTTTTTAGTGCCGTCGTAACATTGGTCCCTAAACGAACTGTCGTAAGTCGAGGACCACCTGTATCTCTTGAAGGATGCAAGTACTGTCGTTCGCTTTAATTTGGCTTGATTCGGCCTCTGGGTGAGGGACGTTAAAGAAATATCTGCTTGGAAGACTCACCGTGTGCCTTTTGGGGGTTTTTAACAGAATCACAGAGTCGGAAGGGACCTTGTGGTCATCTAGTCCAACCCACTGCTCAAGCAGGAAAACCCTCTACCATTTCAGACAAATGGCTGTCCAGTCTCTTCTTAAAAGCCTCCAGTGATGGAGCAGCCACAGCTTCTGTTCCACTGATCAATTGTTCTCATTGTTAGGAAAATTCTCCTTAATTCCAGGTTGCTTCTCTCCTGGATTAGTTTCCATCCGTGGCTTCTTGTCCTGCCTTCAGGGGCTTTGGAGAAGAGCTTGACTCCCTCTTCTTTGGGGCAGCCCCTCAAATACTGGAAGATTGTCATCATGTCATCCCTAGTCCTTCAGATCTGGTTATTGCACAGAGTTTAGGAGTTAATAGTGACGACGTTTGATTTATGACGTTGGATTCTTAAAACTCAAGAGCATAGCATAATAGAGCCGGCGAAGGGACCTTGGAGGTTCTCTAGTCCAACCCAGTGGTGAAATGTAAAAATTTGTTACTACCGGTTCTGTGGGCGTGGCTTGGTGTGTGTGGGGGGTAATATGACTGAGTGGGCGTGGCCAACTTTTTTTTTTTTAAACTTTTAAAACCATTTTTTTCTACAACCTCTTCGGCTGAAGAAGTTGTTAAAAAAAATGCTTTTAAAGCCTCTGACGATCCCAGCTGACTTGCCTGATCGGCAGAGGCTTTCTTTTTTTTTAAAAAGCCTCTGACGATCCCAGCTGAGCCGCCCAATCGTCAGAGGCTTTTTTTTTTTTTTTTTACTTTTAAAAGCATTTTTTCGGCCAAAGAGGTTGTAGAAAAAATGCTTTTAAAAATTAAAAAAAAGCCTCTGATGATTGTGCGGCTCAGCTGGACATGGGAAGGGGGAGGGCAGGGATTTTTGCTACCGGTTCTCCGAACCACCCGCCTCCATCGCTACCGGATTGGGCGATCCGGTCCGAACCGGGAGCATTTCACCCCTGGTTCAACCCCGTCTGCTTGCTCAGCCGAGGACGTTTTGCCCGTGATTTTCTGCTGTCTCCCAGCTGCAGCACCTGAGCCAGACTCTCCGCCGGGACATCATCGAGGGCAACTTCTACGGGGCCACGCTGGCTGCCCTCCATCTCTTTGACGTGGTGGACCTCCACTTCCACTTCCGCTTCGACGTGGGGAACCGCGGCAAGGACGGCATCCACTGGAACAACGTGGTGCATCGCCGGATCACCAAACTTCTCCTGACCCATCTGGCCAACGCCTGGGGGGTGGTGATCCCAGAGAAGAATCCTAGCGGGGGTGAGTAGAGAAGGACACCCAGCGACCGCTCCTTTGGTTTCCAGAAATCATGATCAAGCGAGGGAGAACCTCTGGTCTCCAGAAGGGTTTTTTTGATCTTCCGGTTTCTGGCGCACACATGCACATGTGCAAACCAGCTGGCCAGTGCGCCTGCAGGAAACCAGAAGTTCATCTTCCCGGCATGCACATGCGCACCAGGCAGCTGCGTTTCGGGTTTCCGTCACTCCCGCGTGCGTGAAGACCAGCTGGCCGGCGCAACGGAAACCCGGAAGAGCAACGCACAAGGGCTCGTGTAGCCTGGAGAGGTGGCTTTGCGTGCCACTTTCGGTATGCGTGCCATAGGTTCACCATCATGGGACTGTGGTAACATGGATGATGTTAACTAGCTTGGTAATGAAATGTCTGCATGAAAACTACCAAGCTTAGAGACCACCAAGGACAACACAATCATCATTCTCCTTCTCCTCCTCCTCCTCTTTTCTGCAAACCCCACTCTCTTCTAGCACTGATGATGTTACCCAGTTGGGCCATGAAATGTCTCCAAGGAAACAACCCAGCTCAGAGAACACCAAGGACAACACAATCATCATTCTCCTCCTCCTCCTCCTCCTCCTGCTTCTCCTCCTCCTCCTCCTTTTCCTCCTTCTGCTTCTCCTTCTGCTTCTGCTTCTCCTTCTTCTGCTTCTCCTTCTCCTTCTCCTCCTTCTTCTCCTTCTCCTTCTCTTTCTCCTTCTCCTCCTTCTTCTCCTTCTCCTTCTCCTTCTCCTCCTTCTTCTCCTTCTCCTTCTCCTTCTTCTCCTTCTCCTCCTTCTTCTCCTCCTTCTTCTCCTTCTCCTTCTCCTTCTCATCCTTCTTCTCTTTCTCCTTCTCCTTCTTCTCCTTCTCCTCCTTCTTCTCCTTCTCCTTCTCCTCCTTCTTCTCCTTCTCTTTCTCCTTCTCCTCCTTCTCCTCCTTCTTCTCCTTCTCCTTCTCCTCCTTCTCCTCCTTCTCCTTCTCCTTCTCCTTCTCCTCCTTCTTCTCCTTCTCCTCCTTCTTCTCCTTCTTCTCCTTCTCCTTCTCCTTCTCCTCCTTCTTCTCCTTCTCCTTCTCCTTCTCATCCTTCTTCTCTTTCTCCTTCTCCTTCTTCTCCTTCTCCTCCTTCTTCTCCTTCTCCTTCTCCTCCTTCTTCTCCTTCTCTTTCTCCTTCTCCTCCTTCTCCTCCTTCTTCTCCTTCTCCTTCTCCTTCTTCTACTTCTCCATCTCCTTCTCCTCCTTCTCCTTCTCCTTCTCCTTCTCCTTCTTCTGCTTCTCCATCTCCTTCTTCTCCTTCTCCATCTCCATCTCCTCCTTCTCCATCTCCTTCTCCTTCTCCATCTCCATCTCCTTCTCCTTCTCATCCTTCTTCTCCTTCTCCTTCTCCTTCTTCTCCATCTCCTTCTTCTCCATCTCCATCTCCTCCTTCTCCTTCTCCTTCTCCTTCTCCTTCTCCATCTCTTTCTCCTACTTCTCCATCTCCTTCTCCTCCTTCTTCTCCTTCTCCTTCTCCTTCTTCTCCATCTCCTTCTTCTCCATCTCCTTCTTCTCCTTCTCCTTCTCCTTCTTCTGCTTCTCCATCTCCTTCTTCTCCTTCTCCTTCTCCATCTCCATCTCCTTCTTCTACTTCTCCATCTCCTTCTCCTTCTCCATCTCCTTCTCCTTCTCATCCTTCTTCTCCTTCTCCTTCTCCTTCTTCTCCATCTCCTTCTTCTCCATCTCCATCTCCATCTCCTCCTTCTCCTTCTCCTTCTCCTTCTCCTTCTCCATCTCTTTCTCCTACTTCTCCATCTCCTTCTCCTCCTTCTTCTCCTTCTCCTTCTCCTTCTTCTCCATCTCCTTCTTCTCCATCTCCTTCTTCTCCTTCTCCTTCTCCTTCTCCTTCTCCTACTTCTCCATCTCCTCCTTCTTCTCCTTCTCCTTCTCCTTCTTCTCCATCTCCTTCTCCTTCTCCTTCTCCATCTCCATCTCCTTCTTCTACTTCTCCATCTCCTTCTCCTTCTCCTCCTTCTCCTCCTTCTTCTCCTTCTCCTTCTCCTCCTTCTCCTTCTCCTCCTTCTTCTCCTTCTCTTTCTCCTTCTCCTCCTTCTCCTCCTTCTTCTCCTTCTCCTTCTCCTCCTTCTCCTCCTTCTCCTTCTCCTTCTCCTTCTCCTCCTTCTTCTCCTTCTCCTCCTTCTCCTCCTTCTTCTCCTTCTCCTTCTCCTTCTCCTCCTTCTTCTCCTTCTCCTTCTCCTTCTCATCCTTCTTCTCTTTCTCCTTCTCCTTCTTCTCCTTCTCCTCCTTCTTCTCCTTCTCCTTCTCCTCCTTCTTCTCCTTCTCTTTCTCCTTCTCCTCCTTCTCCTCCTTCTTCTCCTTCTCCTTCTCCTTCTTCTCCTTCTCCATCTCCTTCTCCTCCTTCTCCTTCTCCTTCTCCTTCTCCTTCTTCTGCTTCTCCATCTCCTTCTTCTCCTTCTCCATCTCCATCTCCTTCTTCTACTTCTCCATCTCCTTCTCCTTCTCCATCTCCATCTCCTTCTCCTTCTCATCCTTCTTCTCCTTCTCCTTCTCCTTCTTCTCCATCTCCTTCTTCTCCATCTCCATCTCCATCTCCTCCTTCTCCTTCTCCTTCTCCTTCTCCATCTCTTTCTCCTACTTCTCCATCTCCTTCTCCTCCTTCTTCTCCTTCTCCTTCTCCTTCTTCTCCATCTCCTTCTTCTCCTTCTCCTTCTCCTTCTCCTTCTCCTACTTCTCCATCTCCTCCTTCTTCTCCTTCTCCTTCTCCTTCTTCTCCATCTCCTTCTTCTCCTTCTCCTTCTCCATCTCCATCTCCTTCTTCTACTTCTCCATCTCCTTCTCCTTCTCCTCCTTCTTCTCCTTCTCCTTCTCCTCCTTCTTCTCCTTCTCCTTCTCCTTCTCCTCCTTCTTCTCCTTCTCCTTCTCCTCCTTCTTCTCCTTCTCTTTCTCCTTCTCCTCCTTCTCCTCCTTCTTCTCCTTCTCCTTCTCCTCCTTCTCCTCCTTTTCCTTCTCCTTCTCCTTCTCCTCCTTCTTCTCCTTCTCCTTCTCCTCCTTCTTCTCCTTCTTCTCCTTCTCCTTCTCCTTCTCCTCCTTCTTCTCCTTCTCCTTCTCCTTCTCATCCTTCTTCTCTTTCTCCTTCTCCTTCTTCTCCTTCTCCTCCTTCTTCTCCTTCTCCTTCTCCTCCTTCTCCTCCTTCTCTTTCTCCTTCTCCTCCTTCTCCTCCTTCTTCTCCTTCTCCTTCTCCTTCTTCTACTTCTCCATCTCCTCCTTCTCCTTCTCCTTCTCCTTCTTCTGCTTCTCCATCTCCTTCTTCTCCTTCTCCATCTCCATCTCCTTCTTCTACTTCTCCATCTCCTTCTCCTTCTCCATCTCCATCTCCTTCTCCTTCTCATCCTTCTTCTCCTTCTCCTTCTCCTTCTTCTCCATCTCCTTCTTCTCCATCTCCATCTCCATCTCCTCCTTCTCCTTCTCCTTCTCCTTCTCCTTCTCCATCTCTTTCTCCTACTTCTCCATCTCCTTCTCCTCCTTCTTCTCCTTCTCCTTCTCCTTCTTCTCCATCTCCTTCTTCTCCATCTCCTTCTTCTCCTTCTCCTTCTCCTTCTCCTTCTCCTACTTCTCCATCTCCTCCTTCTTCTCCTTCTCCTTCTCCTTCTTCTCCATCTCCTTCTTCTCCTTCTCCTTCTCCATCTCCATCTCCTTCTTCTACTTCTCCATCTCCTTCTCCTTCTCCTCCTTCTTCTCCTTCTCCTTCTCCTCCTTCTTCTCCTTCTCCTTCTCCTTCTCCTCCTTCTTCTCCTTCTCCTTCTCCATCTCCTTCTTCTCCTTTTCCTTCTCCTTCTCCTTCTTCTTCTCCTTTTCCTTCTCCTTCTCCTTCTTCTCCTTCTCCTCCTCCTCCTCCTCCTCCTCCTCCTCCTCCTCCTCCTCCTCCTTCTCCTTCTTCTCCTCCTTCTTCTCCTTCTCCTCCTCCTTCTCCTTCTCCTCCTTCTTCTCCTCCTTCTTCTCCTTCTCCATCTCCATCTCCATCTCCTCCTTTTCCTCCTCCTCCATTCTGCGAACACTACTCACTTCTAGCACTGATGTTACCTAGTTGGGCCATGAAACGTCTCCAAGGAAACAACCCAGCTCAGAGGGCTTGGACGAAGGACCCCACAGTCGTTGTCGTTACAGCAGCTGTTCAGCTATTAAATCATGACCGTAACAATTTATTCTGAAGTTAAATGAAATCCGAGACGGGTGAATCTGTGTTCAAATAAAGCAGAGTCAGTGAATAGTCCTCCTTCTCCTTCAGAACAAAGAAAGGCCATCGGGCTCCTAGCTGCCCCCAAGAACATTATAGGACATGCCAAAAGTTGCAGAAGGGACTATGAAGACACCGATGGCTTCCTGGAACGTCCCACACCAACAACCGGATGGCTCTCCAAAGAACGCAAGTATCTGGGGCTGGAGAGTCCCGGGAGGAGGCCGTGCGGTGGGGTTGTAGCAGGCTGGAGGTCACCATCCAGCTACTGGGGCACTTCTGGCTTGGCTTCTAAGCATGGGGAGGCCGGCGCCCAGCAGACATGTGGGCAGGACGTGGTCAAAAAAGTCAAGATGGCAGCCACAGTGGAGCAATTGGAGCTCCTTCCATTTCTGATGGACGTCACGCTCAACGTGAGAGATGGGCTCTTGCTGGCATCGCTGTGGCCGCCATCTTGATTGGGGTTACACCTTGCGGGCGTCCCTGATACAGAGGGGGGTTGAGGAGTCCAGAATGGTTCTCCCTTGATCCTGCAGGTCAAGTCACCTTTGCTGACCGTTATGAAGACGACAGGTGTTACCCAGAGCACCCCAATTTCTACGACGACTGTTTACTTGTTCCCAACGATGTGGGGCCACCGACGCCTTGCTCAGGGTTTACCAGCTTTGAGGAATCCGGAGGCCTCTCCTTTCGCCCAGACAACCTGTTCAGAGGTCAGTGCTTATGTGCAGATGTTTGTGCTCTCTCCTTCCCTCTTTCCCTCTCTCTCCTCCCCCTCTCTCCTTCTTCCTTCTCTCCTTCCCCGTCTCTCTCTCTACCTCTTTTCCTCTTTGTCCCTTCGTCTTTCTCCCTCTCTTCCCCTCCCTCCCTCTTTCTCTCCCTTCCCTCTTCATCTCTCCCCTCTCTTTCTCCCTTTCCCTCCTACTATTACTCTCCCTTCCTCTCTCTCTCTCTCTCCCCATCTTTTTCTCTCTCTCTCCCTCCCTTCCTCTCTCTCCCCCTTTCCCTTTCTCCTCCCTCCTTCCCTCTCTCCCTTCCCGCTCTCTCTCCTCCTCCCTCTCTCCTTCTTCCTTCTCTCCTTCCCCGTCTTTCTCCCCGTCTCTCTCTACCTCTTTTCCTCTTTGTCCCTTCCTCTTTCTCCCTCTCTTCCCCTCCCTCCCTCTTTCTCTCCCTTCCCTCTTCATCTCTCCCCTCTCTTTCTCCCTCTCCCTCCTTCTATTACTCTCCCTTCCTCTCTCTCTCCCCATCTTTTTCTCTCTCTCTCCCTCCCTTCCTCTCTCTCCCCCTTTCCCTTTCTCCTCCCTCCTTCCCTCTCTCGCTTCCCCCTCTCTCTCCTCCCCCTCTCTCCTTCTTCCTTCTCTCCTTCCCCGTCTTTCTCTACCTCTTTTCCTCTTTGTCCCTTCGTCTTTGTCCCTCTCTTCCCCTCCTTCCCTCTTTCTCTCCCACTCTTCCTTCCCTCTGCCTCTCTCCCCTCTCTTTCTCCCTCTCCCTCCTTCTATTACTCTCCCTTCCTCTCTCTCTCCCCATCTTTTTCTCTCTCTCTCTCCCTCCCTTCCTCTCTCTCCCCCTTTCCCTTTCTCCTCCCTCCTTCCCTCTCCCTTCCCCCTCTCTCTCCTCCCCCCTCCTTCTTCCTTCTCTCCTTCCCCGTCTTTCTCCCCGTCTCTCTCTACCTCTTTTCCTTTTTGTCCCTCCCTTTCTCTCCCTCTCTCCCTTCCCTCTGCCTCTCTCCCCTCTTTCTCCCTCTCCCTCCTTCTATCCCTCTCCCTTCCTGTCTCTCTCCTCTCTCCCTTTTCCTTTCTCCTCCCTCCTTCCTTCTCTCCCTTCCCCCTCTCTCTCCGTCTTTCTCTCCCTCTCCCCATCTCCCCTTTCCCTCTTTCACCCTCTCCCTCCCTCCCTCGCTCTCTTTCTCTCCTTTTCTCTTCTCTCTCTCCCTCTCTCTCTCCCTCCCGCTTCCTGTCTCTCTTCAACCCTCTCTCTCTTTGTCCCTCTCGCCCCCTCTATGTCCCTCTCTCCCCTTCTTACTCCTTCCCTTCTTCTTTTTCTCCTCTCCCTCTTTCTCTCACTTAATATTGATCTCAAATTAGCAGTTGCTAGCTTAACGAGAACCAGGGCATGGCATAGTTTACAAAGGAATCCAGTGGCACTTCTGGGGGAAGTGAGACTGGGGAAGAACTCACTTAATGACGGTAATTGGGACTGGAATTTCCATCACTAAGCCATGTGGTGGTAAAGAATGTCAGCAGTTCTGGCAGTCCCCATTACCATCGTTAAGCGAAACAGCTTGGGTGATCAAGCGAAGAATTCACGTGATTGCTACATCTGACTTTTTCCCAGTTTGTACGTTGATTTTCGTTGTGGGAAGCTGTCAAGGAAGGTCAGAAATCATGATTATTCCCTGTGATAGTTCATTGGTGCTCCAGAGCAGGGGCCTCCAACCTTGGCGACTTTAAGACTTGTGGACTTCAACTCCCAGAGTTCCTCAGCCAGCAAAGCTGGCTGAGGAACTCTGGGAGTTGAAGTCCACAAGTCTTAAAGTCGCCAAGATTGCAGGCTGAAGAATTCTGGGAGTTGAAGTCCACAAGTCTTAAAGTTGCCAAGGTTGCAGGCTGAGGAACTCTGGGAGTTGAAGTCCACAAGTCTTAAAGTCGCCAAGATTGCAGGCTGAAGAATTCTGGGAGTTGAAGTCCACAAGTCTTAAAGTCGCCAAGATTGCAGGCTGAAGAATTCTGGGAGTTGAAGTCCACAAGTCTTAAAGTCGCCAAGGTTGCAGGCTGAGGAACTCTGGGAGTTGAAGTCCACAAGTCTTAAAGTCGCCAAGATTGCAGGCTGAAGAATTCTGGGAGTTGAAGTCCACAAGTCTTAAAGTCGCCAAGATTGCAGGCTGAAGAATTCTGGGAGTTGAAGTCCACAAGTCTTAAAGTTGCCAAGGTTGCTGGCTGAGGAACTCTGGGAGTTGAAGTCCACAAGTCTTAAAGTTGCCAAGGTTGCAGGCTGAAGAATTCTGGGAGTTGAAGTCCACAAGTCTTAAAGTCGCCAAGGTTGCTGGCTGAGGAACTCTGGGAGTTGAAGTCCACAAGTCTTAAAGTTGCCAAGGTTGCAGGCTGAAGAATTCTGGGAGTTGAAGTCCACAAGTCTTAAAGTTGCCAAGGTTGCTGGCTGAGGAACTCTGGGAGTTGAAGTCCACAAGTCTTAAAGTTGCCAAGGTTGCAGGCTGAAGAATTCTGGGAGTTGAAGTCCACAAGTCTTAAAGTTGCCAAGGTTGCTGGCTGAGGAACTCTGGGAGTTGAAGTCCACAAGTCTTAAAGTTGCCAAGGTTGCTGGCTGAGGAACTCTGGGAGTTGAAGTCCACAAGTCTTAAAGTCGCCAAGGTTGCTGGCTGAGGAACTCTGGGAGTTGAAGTCCACAAGTCTTAAAGTCGCCAAGGTTGCAGGCTGAGGAACTCTGGGAGTTGAAGTCCACAAGTCTTAAAGTCGCCAAGGTTGCTGGCTGAGGAACTCTGGGAGTTGAAGTCCACAAGTCTTAAAGTCGCCAAGGTTGCTGGCTGAGGAACTCTGGGAGTTGAAGTCCACAAGTCTTAAAGTCGCCAAGATTGCAGGCTGAAGAATTCTGGGAGTTGAAGTCCACAAGTCTTAAAGTTGCCAAGGTTGCTGGCTGAGGAACTCTGGGAGTTGAAGTCCACAAGTCTTAAAGTCGCCAAGATTGCAGGCTGAAGAATTCTGGGAGTTGAAGTCCACAAGTCTTAAAGTTGCCAAGGTTGCAGGCTGAGGAACTCTGGGAGTTGAAGTCCACAAGTCTTAAAGTCGCCAAGATTGCAGGCTGAAGAATTCTGGGAGTTGAAGTCCACAAGTCTTAAAGTCGCCAAGATTGCAGGCTGAAGAATTCTGGGAGTTGAAGTCCACAAGTCTTAAAGTTGCCAAGGTTGCAGGCTGAGGAACTCTGGGAGTTGAAGTCCACAAGTCTTAAAGTCGCCAAGATTGCAGGCTGAAGAATTCTGGGAGTTGAAGTCCACAAGTCTTAAAGTCGCCAAGATTGCAGGCTGAAGAATTCTGGGAGTTGAAGTCCACAAGTCTTAAAGTTGCCAAGGTTGCAGGCTGAGGAACTCTGGGAGTTGAAGTCCACAAGTCTTAAAGTCGCCAAGATTGCAGGCTGAAGAATTCTGGGAGTTGAAGTCCACAAGTCTTAAAGTTGCCAAGGTTGCAGGCTGAAGAATTCTGGGAGTTGAAGTCCACAAGTCTTAAAGTTGCCAAGGTTGCTGGCTGAGGAACTCTGGGAGTTGAAGTCCACAAGTCTTAAAGTCGCCAAGATTGCAGGCTGAAGAATTCTGGGAGTTGAAGTCCACAAGTCTTAAAGTCGCCAAGATTGCAGGCTGAAGAATTCTGGGAGTTGAAGTCCACAAGTCTTAAAGTTGCCAAGGTTGCTGGCTGAGGAACTCTGGGAGTTGAAGTCCACAAGTCTTAAAGTCGCCAAGATTGCAGGCTGAAGAATTCTGGGAGTTGAAGTCCACAAGTCTTAAAGTTGCCAAGGTTGCAGGCTGAGGAACTCTGGGAGTTGAAGTCCACAAGTCTTAAAGTCGCCAAGGTTGCAGGCTGAGGAACTCTGGGAGTTGAAGTCCACAAGTCTTAAAGTTGCCAAGATTGCAGGCTGAAGAATTCTGGGAGTTGAAGTCCACAAGTCTTAAAGTTGCCAAGGTTGCTGGCTGAGGAACTCTGGGAGTTGAAGTCCACAAGTCTTAAAGTCGCCAAGATTGCAGGCTGAAGAATTCTGGGAGTTGAAGTCCACAAGTCTTAAAGTTGCCAAGGTTGCTGGCTGAGGAACTCTGGGAGTTGAAGTCCACAAGTCTTAAAGTCGCCAAGATTGCAGGCTGAAGAATTCTGGGAGTTGAAGTCCACAAGTCTTAAAGTCGCCAAGATTGCAGGCTGAAGAATTCTGGGAGTTGAAGTCCACAAGTCTTAAAGTTGCCAAGGTTGCAGGCTGAGGAACTCTGGGAGTTGAAGTCCACAAGTCTTAAAGTCGCCAAGATTGCAGGCTGAAGAATTCTGGGAGTTGAAGTCCACAAGTCTTAAAGTCGCCAAGATTGCAGGCTGAAGAATTCTGGGAGTTGAAGTCCACAAGTCTTAAAGTTGCCAAGGTTGCAGGCTGAGGAACTCTGGGAGTTGAAGTCCACAAGTCTTAAAGTCGCCAAGATTGCAGGCTGAAGAATTCTGGGAGTTGAAGTCCACAAGTCTTAAAGTTGCCAAGGTTGCTGGCTGAGGAACTCTGGGAGTTGAAGTCCACAAGTCTTAAAGTCGCCAAGATTGTAGGCTGAAGAATTCTGGGAGTTGAAGTCCACAAGTCTTAAAGTTGCCAAGGTTGCAGGCTGAGGAACTCTGGGAGTTGAAGTCCACAAGTCTTAAAGTTGCCAAGGTTGCTGGCTGAGGAACTCTGGGAGTTGAAGTCCACAAGTCTTAAAGTCGCCAAG